CAAGGACTGGGGGCATGGTTCAAGTGGTAGAGCACTGGCCTAGCAAGCAGAAGACTCTATGTTCAAACCCTAGTATTGCCAAAAAGAAAAAGAAAAAAAAAAAGGTTTAGTGAAAGGCAGCCACTTAACTTTTAACACTTGCTATCTGAGAGGGGCCAAGTGGACTGAGGAGAGAGTAGACAGGGTACAATAGAGAAAGCCATAGAGAAAACACGTGAGACATTGTAATTCCAAACAGCATAGCTACAGATGGTAGACACACAACTCATGTCTGAGTTCTACGATTTAATATCATCTGAATAAATTAATGTAATTCCACAAATTGCATTTTTCTCAGTTTATTCAAATTTTTCAAATAGCTTGCACAAGTCACTGGCCCTGTTGTTTTTAAAATGTGCTGTTACTATCTTAAACAAACAAAAATATCTTTTTCCAAAATTGAAGGACAGGAAGGTACAAACAGGTCCCATCTGGGGGTTGGTACCGTGGGAGGGAGAAGGACATAAGGAAAGGGTGAAGAAGGGTGAATGTGGTAGAAATATTACTCACTCCTGTATGAGGTAGAAAAATGAGACCTGCTGAAATTATTCTAAGAAGGGGAGGAGGAGAAATAAAGAAGAATGAAAGGGTGAATCTAACTAAGACATACTGTAAGCACTTTTGTAAATGTCACAGTGCACCACCAGCACAACAACAATATGCTAATAAAAAAAAAATAAGAATGTGCCTTTAAAGATCCCCCCTTACAAGACCCCTTTCTGTAAGAATTAAAAGATTTGCAAAGTATAAAACAGAAGGCAGTGGAGCAACCTTTCAAAGACCTGCTCAGTCCTTCCTTATAGCACCAGCAAACAGGAAGCAAGTCATACTAACTCCTAGGGGACCAAAACGGGGGAGGCGAGGGAGGATCCAGGTTGCTCCTGCATACTCAGGGCAGAGCACTGGGCAGGAGCAGAGGTAGGCGAAGGGAAGACGGGCAAGACCATGCTGTGCTACTGCTTCATACCTGAGGAAACGAGGCCACACTCCCACAGCTGTTTTCATAGGGTGACTGTATGCCAACAGGCTCTTCCTCATCAGAGCTACCATTCAGGTTACCTGCCCTTGGGACCTTGTTTTCCCTTTCTGAAACCTCGTCTTGCTATCTTCTTCATAGCTTCCTCATGAACATGCTGTCTTAATATCAGGACTTCTCAAGATCCAGGATGTCCCCTTCCCTGGATGACAGACTCCAAGGTGACTTCCAGAGTATCCCAAAGCAGAATTTGTAAATGCTACACAGCTTCTATTCCAACTCAGATATCAGAGCATCCCAACTATGTCCTCTATGTCTGGACAAATATTACATAGTGCTTTTGCTTAAGGAGAAAAAAGGCAAAAAGATAGAAATACTTTCCTGACATAGACAGACCAACTAGAGCAAATGGATGGTTGAAATTGCAGAGGGTTTTATAAAGCAGTTTCACGTAACACAGCCTTACTTCGTTCTTCAGGTCTCTGCTTTCCCTAATTCTTTGACAGCTCACTTAAAACACTTTAATGATTTTCCACTTCTCTTTGTATAAAGACCAAAATCTTTATCTTGTCAATTAATCTCTAACTCTGGCTCATGTGCTTTGCCCCTGTGTCCTCTGTACTCCAGACACACTGACCTCCTATCAGTTCTTCAAACAGACCATGGGGCTTTTGCAAATGCTTCTCCACGTGTGGAAAATACCTTCTCCATCCCCCATTTTGCCAGTTAACTCTTACTCTTCCTTTTTTCAGCTACATTTTCATCTTGTCAGCCAAATATTTTCCATTCTCTCTGACAAGGTCAAAATCCTCTAAATAGCCTTACATACATTCTTTTCTTAGCACTAAACCTGATTATAATTTTAAAACATAACACTTAGCTTAGCTCAACTATAAAATTTTATGTGTCTCCATAGGGTAAATTCCTGTAAAGGCAGCAACTTTGTCCATTTTTGCTCATGGTTATATGCCTAGGACTAACTTGGTTCGTGACATGCATATTCCACAGACATTTAATAAATGAATGAGAAAATAATAATCTCTGTGTAGAGAGAAGATATAGGATATCCACATTTAAGAAATGTGGAAACTTCATCTAAGAGAATGTAAAGGATTTGCTCAAAGAGCACAAACACAGGCATTTGAGCCCAGCGTAGTTGACTCCTGATTTCAGGGACAGGGAATGCATCATTCCAAGACCTGAAAGCATTGCATGGTATGAGAAGCCTGGTGCAGACACACTGAGTGAGGAAATGAACGTTGGAAGGAATTAATTATAGACTTCAGCACAAAAAGAGTAGTCTTGGCTGTGACATTGAGCAGGTCACTTCACCTTTGTTCTACAGCTGAAGGCTGATAGACCCCAGGATCTGAATTCTGAGATTCTGCACTTGCAAATTCCTCACAGCTTGGGATTCTACCTAACAGCAGGCTCTACACGTGCTGGCAGAGTTCTTCACAGGCCATATTTGACTTGATGTTTTGGATCATTTTTAATGTATTCACACAGCAATTACAGCAGTGCAACAAGAGGCAATTGCAGGAGCAATTACATCCGGGACAACATATGGCAGCTGTAGAAACAATGGAAAGTTATTGCAGGATGTTAAGCACAGCATCTGGAAAGGCTTTGCTATGACCTTGACAGTTGACCCTGGGACTTTCAGATACCTAATATAGTTGTTCACAAAGGAACAAAGAACATCTGGCCAAAATGTTAGCATCTTTAGGTGCCTATTCCCATTGTTAAGTGATTCAGAAATTAATAAAAGGGAATCGTGAATGGTTTTAATCATTCAGCAAAGAAATTAAATAGAAAGGGAAAGGTTTTCCCTTTTTTTCCTATAAGGGAAAGTCACCCTCTTCCCACAAATATGGGATACTCAGCATAACTAGGCAGAGATGTATGTTTTTGTCCTGACCCTCCCCTAACCAAAATGCACACTAATGTGCTCTGTAATCTAGAGTGTGCTGAACTTTCCAGCTTACTTCTCTCCCACTCTCCGGCCTGGCACACATTCCATCCTCACAACTCACTACTTCTCATGCCTCCCAGAGAAACCCTTGACTCCTCAAGGTCCAGCTCAAATGTCATTTTCTCTCAAGAAATGCCCTCCAGAAGAACTCAGTGCCCCTTCGTCCACAGACCCATGGCATTTATTTATGCCCACATGACAGCACCATTGGTCATCTGACTCAGGTTATGGTTATTTGTCTATCTGCTTATCTTGTCTCCTGCCTCAATCATCCTGCCAAACTGTAAGGCCCTTGAAGATAAGAACCATGCCTTATTTATCATGTCATACCCCAAGCATACAGTTGCATGCCTGACATTTAGAAATTCTGAGTCAAATGATACATTTAGTATAAGGGAAGACAGAGTCTTATCAAGTCATCCCATATAGCAGTTTATCAGAGAGTTTAGTGACCAAAGCAGCTCTAATGCTACGAATTTTAAATACATTTTGTTTTGTTTTCTTTTGTTTCTAGACAGGGTCTGGCTATGTAATCCAAGATGTCTTCTAATCTATAATCCTCCTCTCACAATCTCCTGAGTGCTGAGATTATAGGCACATGCACCAAAAACCATGCACAGCCTCAAGTACTCCTCTATTCCAATAATGGAGTTATTTTGAAGTTATCCTATACCTTTATTTTTAGCTAAAATGATTATATTTTTCCATATTAAGCACAGAGCCAGAATGTTGCTAGCATTACTTATTTAATCCTCAACAACTAGATAAGCTATTACCATTGCCACTTTCAAATAGGTTAGCTTGAGGTCTAACTAGATAACACTTCTCCCAGACACAAGGTAAGTAACAGGCAAGGATAGCATTTGAACCCAAGTCAACCTTACCAAAACCCTGAACTCCTAATCACCATGGTGTTCTCTACCTTGTTTTACAGCTATCTCTGGTGTGTGAGTCACAGTCTTTATTTTCCTTCAATACTTTATTTTTAATTTACTCTTTTTCTGGTGCTGAGGATCAAACCCAGAGCCTTACACATGTAATTTTTTTTTAATATTTTAATTGTACTTGTGTAGAATCTTTTACTGAAATATTTTATAATTCTACTTGGCAGCCCCTTCATTACTGCTCTAACACTTATTATCAATATTTTAAGGACTCACTTCATTCCACAGTATGCTCAAAAAATGCTTAGAGTTCAGAAAACTGAGAGATAGAATATGACTTGTCTAAAGTCACATTGATAATGGTGACAGCCCAGAGTGACCCAAGAGCGCCCATATCTTTCATTAGGGCATTTTGTAGCATTTGTGCATCTGCAGATAAAGGTGTCTAGAATTACGTTACTTTCCTGTCAATACCTGGGTCAGTCTGATGCAGTGACCAAAGTCACATAGGAATCTAAATGCCTTCTCTTCCAAGAAAATCAAATCTTTGTGTTTTCCCAAGTGTTTCACAAGCCTGATAACAGTACTAAAGACTATGCTGAGCTGTGATTTTACCTCATCTGCAGCCTGTAAGTGGCCACAGTTCCACTGTCCCTAATTGGTACTGTCCTGCATGAGGGACCTTTTAGGAAAACACAGGTCAAGAATCCCAAACCCATAATCACTTGCCTGGTTGGTCAGGTTATTTTCTCATTTTATCAAAAGGTAACTGTCCACCATCACAGAAGATTTCACGTGAGATCGTGATAAAATAATAAGCTAAGCATTAACATTTGCTGAGTCTTTATATCATATGTCAGATGCAAAGCTGAGCTCTTTATCAGGATCTCTTGCTAGATTCATCCTCATATTAACCCTGCCTTACAAATGAAGCGCTAAGCCCTGAGAGGCTGACAAGTTTGCCCAAGGTGCCCTGGTTGAATCTCAGCTGTATCTGACTCCAAACCTGGAATCTAAACCACACAACTTATTTTCAATATCCACTAACACTATTATAGTCTCTTTTCTTACCCCAATAGTTAGGGAAAGATACCCAACATATTTTTTGAAGGAAGAAAGAAAATACCTGATAAGGCCCAAGTCGTCTCCATTCAAATCTACCATTTTCAAGAGTAGCATTTCCTTGTCTGTATTTGAAGAATACCTAGTCAGCAAAACAAAGAAACTTAGGTCTATGTTAGAGTGGCCTTCATGCATAACAAACCACAAAAGTTGATCTAGAAACAAAATGTCTCTTATCAAGTGAGATTCCTGACTAGTGATAGTCTATAAACTTAATGTGGTACCTCATTCATCAGGTGAGGAAGGGGTTTGCAATTGTGATCAATATAAGGGGAACCAGATTAACTAACTATAGCTGAAATACATATTTCAAAATAAACACCTTTGAAATATATTAAAGAATATGCATGCAAATACAAATTGTAAAGCAGTTAAGTTGAAACTGACATTTTACTCTGCAATGCCATAGTAGCCAAGTACTTCTCTTCTGTTGAAAGTCTAGTTCATCACTTTAAAAAACAGTAATAGCCAGGTGTGGTGGCCTACATCTATAATCCCAGCTACTCAGGAGGCAGAGATTAGGAGGATTGTAGTTTGAAGGCAGCCATGGCAAAAAAAAAAAGTGAGTAAGACTCCACTTCTACCAATAAACTGGACATGGTGGTACATGCTGTCATGCCAGCTACTCAAGAGCATAGGTATGAAGATGGTGGTCCAGGTAGGCCCTATACAAAAAATAATTAAAGCAAAAAATGGCTGGGGGTAGCCTAAGTAGTAAAGCATCTGCCTAGAAGCATGAGGCCCTGAGTTCAAATACCAATACTGAAGAAAAAAAAAACACAAAATAATTATCTCCTTTAGTTGTTCCATTTAGTTATATTTGTTTTGTTTCTTGCTCTTCCTTTTAGATTCTATATTCTTTTATCATCTCTCTCTTGCCCCACTGTCATGGATTAAGATGATTTCTTCTGGATATCAGGTAATAAAAGATCTATTCATGAAAAAATATGTGCTATGCACATTTTATCTCCATTTTACAGATGAGGAAGCAAAGCACCAATAAAATAAGATAAGTAAATTCCTAAGGTCACACAACTAGAATGTAATAAAGTTAAGCTGAGACTACAGTTGTGCCCAGAGTCCTTCAAACGTTCACATAGCTCCCACAGCCAACAAGGTACAACATGTACTAAGAAAAACAATGAAATTCATCTTTACATTCACTTTTTGTTTCTGCTTGTCTTTAATATGTTCAAAAATTATCTTAGCTTTAAAACTTCCCTAGAACCCCACCATCTATTATATCTGTGGACTAAGATTCTGTTGCTGTTCTCTAAAGGGAATGCAGTGGTACCATTTTGATAATTTCCCTCACCTTTCTCTCTCTGACTGTGGATTCTGAAAGTAAGAGGTAGGACTTCGGTTGATCTGCACACCAGCAACGTTTCCTTTATTGATAAAGATTTTGCCTGGTTTCATATTTGTGTGTGCTATCTCAATGCTCTGGAAGTTAAAAGAAAAAGAAGTTGTAAGCTCAAACATCCTGGTGGGGATAACGACTTAGTCAAGGTAAACAAAAGAGCCCTGTGGACAATTTTGTTTGTCGCTATAGGATAAAAGATAGAGAACCACACAGTTGGTGTCATTCTGGAGACAAACAGAAATGACCTTCACAGAAAAAGTGCTAATATAGAAACTTGGTGCCAATTAACTGCTTAGCCCCACAAACAGCTCCACTTCCTGGTCTCAGCTCTGCTGAGCCACGCATAATTTGACATTTCAGATGGTCAAGTGGGAGATTTAATGCTTATGACTTTGGGACAAGATTTGTTAGCATATACGTGGTCCACCCTCCTGCTCTTTCCATCCCACCATCCTATAAGGTAGAATTTTTAAACATCTATGATTGAGAACCATTGTGAGATGCATTTTTTGTCATAACTTAACACACATCAACATACACATCCTAAGGCAAATATTCACAGCCTAAACCATACCCTTAAAGTGTATTTAATACTTCTTGTGACCATGACATTTATTTTAAACCATTGTTAGCCATAGTATAAAAATGTAAAGAAAATTCTGCCTTTGCTAGCTGGATCCCTGAGTTTAAGGGGTGACTTTGTGAGGAAAAATAGAGAGGCTAAACCTGGAAGACCAAGAAATGAAGAAAAACATTAATGAGAACCCTGCTGAGGAAAACAGACTGGGTTACTCTGTGTTGTATAGAACAACAGCATCAGGCTGTGCCTATGTTTGAGTTACTCCATTTTATAAAGCAACAGTTTAAGCCTCAGTCACTCCATTTTGACTAGAAGTGAAAAGATAGAATGACTCTACATCATGTTTATACAAGTAAACAACAGGCATCTGCTATCACAATATGAGGCACAAACTGATAATTTATTTGTGCCAATAAATAATTATATCTATAAACATATCAAATGATATCAGAAATGCCAGACACGTGAGTTCATCAATTACACCAGATGTGATCCCCTTACCTGGGACTATAAAAGAAGGAGTACTTCAAGACTGAGATGTGGCAAGCACACTGACTCATAACCTGGTTACTCCTCATAAGCCTTATCTAGGAAAATTGGCACAGTGAAGGACCTCTGCCTCTGTTCCCAGATTCCAGCTCAAATGCAGCAGCTTCCCCTGCCTATGACACACAGCCCACTCTCAGCTGACACTTGAAACCACCTACTGCCTGGACCTGCATTTGACAACTATACACCCTGAATAGCTCTGTGTCTGGGGCTCATAAAACTTCCCCTCTGGTCTCTACAAAGACTTCCTTATATCTGTATCAGCTCTCTACCTGTGCAGTCCCTCTAAACTCTGCAGCCTCTTTAACCCTTTTGTAGCTATTCTATAACACACACACACACACACACATAATTGTGCAAAGTGTAATGTGTGGTCCAAGAGTTAATATTAGTAATTAAGATTGTAATACAAGAACCTGTGATTACTAATAGTCATGACTACCAAGTGAAATCAGTAGTACATGGCAAATTAAAGTCAAGGAAATTGACATAGCATTCTAAATTCTAAAAGAAAAAAGGAAAAGTACATTAAAATGTTAACTTCTAAATAATCTGTCTTTAGATTTTTTTTGAGGGATGGGGTTGCAAATAGGTACTCCACTGCTTGAGCCCCACTTCTAGCCCATTTTGCTCTGGTTATTTTGGAGATAGCGGTTTTGCCAAGTATCTGATAGGGCTGATCTCAAACTGCAATCCTCATAATCTCAGTCTCCCAAGTAGTTAGGACTATAAGTGTGAGCCACCAGAGCCTGGATTTTCTCTAGATTTATAGAAGCAAAAACATTTGGTGATCTTCAGATAATCAGAATGTATAATGCCCCTCCTTGTTTAATTCAATTCTGTGCATCAACTAACACAGATTGCTGTGATGTGTAACTACAGAAAAATAATGTTTGCAACTAGTCCCAGGATGTCAATGTCCATTGTAATGTTCCGGCCGGAAGGGGTGAAAAGGGATACATGCCCTGGATTAGGAAGGCTCAGCTCAACAGGAAGTCTTCCTAACATTGTTCCACTGTCCTCCTTTTTCTTCCTATAAAAGCCTTTGCCCACCTGAGTGCTTTAAGATGGGTGATGAGGTGATGATAGCTTCCCTCCCCAACTACTGGCTTTTGAGTGGCAAACAGACAAACTTGGATCTGATAACATTAGGAAGTAGAAAAAAAAGATAGGTTCTATGGTTATGCTCAGACCAGGATCCAAAGGGAGTTTCTCTGTATCACACCACACCACTCCTAAAACATCTGTAAGCAATGGTAAAAAAGAGAATCTGAAGGCTCTTTGCCTACCTTCACGATACCAGTGACCATGTACTCAAAGGTTCGATTGCTGAATCCTTCGCTGGCAAGGACAAATATGGTGTACTGAAAATATCCTGCGGGACCCGAGTGGGTATGAGTACCACTCAGGATAACATTGTCTCTTCTGTACAGAGATCCATATTTACTCTGCAGTCTGCTCAGGACCTGCATGGAAAAAAAAATAGAAGAAGAGGGATAACATAGGCGCTCAATCACTGGTGTGCCTCGTTGACATCCCTTTCAAGTGCCTTTCACTCTGTGCTTGAGTGTAGCATCACAGTAACAAGCACAACAACAGTAGCCATTTTATAGATTATTGCTGTTTCCATGTAAATCTCTAAATATTTTATTCATATTATGTCATTTAAAAATATTTACAACAAGCCCAAGAAACAGGTATTATTAGCTTCAGTGTTAGCTGAGAATATTGACATGTATAGAAATTACACAATTTTCCCACTGATGTAATAGGTAACAAGGCCAAATTCCAGATCTGAGCCTTTCTAACCAGTACCCTTACCAATTCATCATTTAACTCTTAATATTAACATGCAGGCACCTGTTCTAAGCATGAGTAATACAGCAAATTGCTACCTGGAAGATTTCTTTATTCTAATGAAGAAGAAAGACAATAAGCAAATAAATATGCAATATTATATCATATAGTGATAACTGCTAGAAGAAAAATATTCCTATAGAAGGAAGAAGGTAGTGATTGACAATAGTGAGGAAAGATCTTTGAAAGGGGGCTCTAATACAAGTCAGAATTGCCTACCCCAGCCACTCTGGGATTTTCAACCCACAGAAACCCCCAGCAGTAATACAAGATTATTATTATTTTGAGCCCCTAGGAGTTTGGATAATTTATTGTTTAACACAGATAGATAATTCAAATATTCTCAATAACTGCTCATTGCATTTGTCAATGAATATCCAAATGCATGATTAGTGCTTTTCTGTGATACACATGCATCAAGAAAATAAAGAGAAAAATGAGTAATACTGTTGAGTATATATTTCTGATCTGTTACCAATCTGAATTTTGGTATTATTGTGGCTTCTTTGTGACAGATCATTAAAATAATCCAGCAAAAGTGTCAAACCCAAAGCAACTATTAAAACTACTAAATGTTTATCTTGAGTATGATCTAGACAATCTGATAAACTCTCTGAAAAAAGCCCTCATTTACATTATTTGCCAATTTCTGTGATGCCATGGTCAGTTTCAAGGTACCAATTTAACAACCAGCTCACAACATTCCTGAATATTTAATAATTGGTTCTCATGAGTTTGTATAACCTGGTCTGTCACATCACTGGCTCATAGAGGAGTAGCAGCGTATGTGCTGTAGACGTGACATATAGAAAAGCATCCATTCAATCTCTTCTACACAATCTCATTCCAGTCATGTAGTCATTAAAGCATAAAGAAGATTTTGCAAACTATCTTTTCTCTTTAACCTCTCCACACCCCAAAGACCAATTGTTAAGTTACCATGTCCATATTAGAATGCTGTTACACAAAATGAATATGTAGAGGAAATATGATAGAACACAAGTACCATCCCTCTGACCAAGTAAGCCCTCATTCTCTATCCTAATGGGTTTCTATGCGCCTTCTAATTGGCCCTAACTCAATCCCCAATTCCTTATCCCGCCCACAAATTCTCCCACATGATAACTACTATACTTATGAAGAATGAAAATAACCAATAAAGGGACACGATGAAGCTGAACCAAAGACAAAAGCTAATGTTCTGATAATTCTATAACAAAGACAGGAATGTAGTAGAAAATAAGAAATGCAAGTCAACATTAAAGCTCACTGTTATCCTAAAGAACAATAATATTAGGATTTTAGAATTAAATGGATTTCTTCATGTCTGTTCAAAAATCAAGTTCTTAAAGAAATAGTAATTATGAATCTTGAATTTTAGAACAAAAAAGACCATAAACAGCATATAGGACTCTTTTCCTAAACCATAGTCCCGATAGAGGACCAGACACATGGGACTACTGGGGAAAAGAAAAGAAAAAAGAAATTAAATATTCAATCATACAATAACCATGCCTGCAAATAGCCATTTTAAGCTATGTTTCCCCCTTCATGAAAGGAAAGATATTTTAACACAGAACAAAGCAGTTACATTAATGTGTCAGGCTAACTTCTATCTTCAGCTTCCATTCTATCTTCTTTACTGACACTCTTGGAAGCATGACATAGAAAGAGTTAGAAAACTATGGTTTTTCTGCCCAGCCTCACTGCTCAGATATCTTCCCAAATCTTCATTTCATGCTGGAAATGTCAGAAGTTTTAAATCTGCTTAATGTGTTATAAATAAGCCTAATGTTGTTTATTTAGCTACGTTTATTTTTTTCACACCTTCCCTTGCATTAACATGGGATAGCTAAGTGGGTTTATCTAAAGGTCTTCTCACTGGTCTCAAATTGCAGGAGAAAGTAAAAACAGGAAGAGATGGTTACACGGTGCTCACTATTGATTTGACAGCATCTACAAACCAACACATTAAACCCCTCTTCCCTCCTTACTCCACCCCCAAATTCTACCTTTTGACTATTCTATTTCTACTGATGGTCCACCATTCCCAGTCAGAACCCTCTTTCATTCCTCAGAAAATTGGTACAGTGCAGTGATAATGAGCTTGAACTCTAACACCAAAGTGTTTAAGCTTGGATCCCACCTGTGATGGTTCCCTGATGTGTAAACTTGGAGTAGTTGCTTGATCCTCTGAAACTTGGTTTCCCAATCTTTCCAGTGACATAATAACAATACCTTCCTCATAGAGATGTTTAGAAGGTTGACTTAATATATGTAAGTATATTAATATATGTAAGTATATTAAATGCCCTCTGTTTGAAAGACTTAGATTACTATTTTCCTAACTGAACTCTCGCCAATAGAACCCCAATACTAAAGAATCTGCTAGTTTGTGTACTCTCTTCTAATTCTACTTTATTCTAGTTCATATCAAATATCACTATCTGATTAATCACCCTAAAGCAAAGTTGCATTTACATCACTCCACCACTCAAAAGTTTTCTATGACTCCACATTACCCATAAAATTCAAAGCAACCTGGCATTCCAGGCCTTCCACAATTATGACCAAAACAACTTTAAGGTGCATTTCCATGCAACTACATACCTCCATATGTCCTAACAGAACTTCTCTATCCCTTCAAAAAAGAAGACTATATCTCTCCCTTGCTACTTTCTGTGTTCCTGCTGTCCCTTTCACCTGATCTCTCTCCTGCTCCATTTTAACCATCTAAAATTCTGCACACTCAAGTGTCATTTCTGCTATGAAACTGTTCTCCTAATTTCCATTTCCTGAATCTCTTTGTGGCAGTCTTAAAAGGCTATATGTCCACAAATTATTTTATACTTCTCCCTTCAAAAGTTAAAGATTAATTTTCTTACTCTTACATGAGGGCTGGACCTAGTGACTTGAGGAATAGAACAGGGTAATGATGTACAACCTCTGAAAGTAGGTCATAAAATGCACTATGGCTTCTTCCTTGCTTTTTCTGTTGAGTCACACCCTCTGAAGGAATCCATCAGGATTCCAACAACCACAGGCGTGAACTCTCTTGGGAGTGGATCTTGAAGCCCAACTCAAGCCTTCAAATGTCTGAGAACCACTTAGCCAAGTCCTGACTCACAGACCATGTGGGATAAAATGTGTTTGTCATGCCACCATATTTTGGGGGTAAATTACTACACAAGATAACTAATATAATATACCGCTGTACTTTACTCTAGTAAATTGTTATCTCTGTTTTTCTGTTACAGTCCTTCCTCCTAGGCCTCAACTCCTACAGTGACCTCATAGGAGATGGAGGTTATGACCCAATTAACTATGTATCCCTGCAGTGACTAGAAAAGTGCCTTACAAAAAGCAAGTGGTCAAGACATTTTTCCCTGCAAAAGAATATCTCTTTTAAGAATGTGGGCTCTGAGATCACATGTGTTCATAACCCAGGTCTGAAGTTACTTATTCACAAGATGGGAAGAGCAGCAGAGTTATCTCAGGGTTTTGTTGTAAGCACAGGAGGGAGAAAAATACTTAACTCCCTACTCCTTCTGTTTCCACTGATAGGAGAGGCTTTCACTCCACTTCCAGAAAGGCACAACAACACACTGACCCCTCCACACAGCAAAAGCAGCAAAATGTTCCATAGGTGAGACTGAAAGAACACAACACCGCACTGGCCAACACTGACAGTCATGTTCTGGTCAGTGCTCCAACCTCTGCTCTTTATCACATTCACAAATATGTGAGCAGATAACAACAGTGCACTTTCACTCCTGGTGACCTGATCCTGTATAGAAAATATAACTGGGTCAGGTCTTCAAAACTGGCTTAGAGAGATAGAGCTGAAAACCCATGATGATCATTTTATTCTGATCCCCTCTTCCTCCCTGCCTGTCTTTCTGTTTTTCTCCTCTGGTTCCTTACAGGCCTTAGGCAATCCAAGAATCTTCCATGTACCTTTCTCTAAACTCAACTCTTCCCACAAGTAGGTACCAAGGTCTAAATTTAGGGAAAATCCTAGAAAAGTTTACCACATTCTACAGTACAGTTTAAAGATTAAGACAGCTGATGCTATATTCTTTTTAAACTGTTGTTATAGAAATTTTCAAACTCATACAAAATTACCTGAATAATATAATGAACCCCCATGTGTCTATCACCCAGTTTGCAATTACCAATTCTTAGCCAACCTCATTTCGATGTTGTATTTTAATTTTCATCTAATACTTTGCTTCTATTCTCAGTTGCCTGAGAACTTGAAGGAGAGGTTAGTGATTAATTGTGCTCTCAAATGTCTAACCTGGATGATTAAATGACAGCGTATCTGTGAAGGTCACCTGGAACACAATAAGCTTTCAAAAAATATTAGAGTTCCTAATGATGATGAGTGAGCAGGAGGACTGAAATCAAGTTTTGATCAAGATGATTTAGAGTGAGGAGTGTCTTCCTTGTACAATTGTCAGCTAGACTGTCAAGAGCTTAATGTTGAAGGGAGGAGGAACTCAGTGAAGAAACTAAGAGTACATTTACCCACAAACTTTTCTTTAAGTCATATCATTTTTTTTCTCCTCTCAATTACTTACCTCTAGCCTGAGTCGTTGAGATACCATGCCTACTTCAACACTGACAAACACAATTCGATTTGACCCATCGGGTTCCGCCAGGATGAAAGCCCTACTGTACAGCCTTGTGAGGAGACCCTGTGCATTCTGGCCAGACTTGCCGAATCCCATCTAAGGAGAAAGAGAGATTCAGAGTTATTCTGTCTCATTCCCCTACTACAAGAAACCAGGCACAAACATATGAAAGCAGACTTTTCAGAAAGACAAAGATAAAATCTACATGACCCTGTGAATGAGTGAGCTGATGTGCATGTTTTCAAAAATATAAATAAGTTAAAAAGTAAAAAACCATAAAGAGGGCTTAATCTGTGCAGAAAAATGTGAAGACAAAGTATTGATCAAAATGGTGGAAGGTATTCACTGGCATATGGGCAACAGGTGAGCTGGTGTGGCTCAGGAACCTCATTACTATACTGGAAACCTTGGGGGGGGGTGACTAAAAAGAAGGAAGTACTTCCCTACCTTCACCTCACATTGCTCAGAAACATTTTAAAGATTGGAGGCTCTCTCACATTGGTTGTTTGGTGTGTGAGACTGTTTTCTGAAGAAAATGGCATCTTTATGATTAGGTACTCTTTACTGAGGATACCACCCTGACTTTAGCATGTTACTACTTCCTAAACTAAGTCAGATCACACACTCTTATGCCATGCCCTTTTTCTCACCATGCCATAAAACCCACCCATCAAAACTACACCCTGGCCTTCAGAACGTCCCCTCTACTGTTTGCATTACCCCTAATGAGTGTTCATTGGGGTTTCATGCTCCAGGTTCACTTTTCAGAACAGACAACTGAGAATAATTCTTAGACCCTAAAGATTATGTAGTAAAAGAGAGCAAATTTCAACAGACAATTTAATGTTTTGGTTTCCTCAGGAAGTGCTGACATAAATGGGTGTTTCCACCACCGTAGCCAAGAAGACATATGCTAGCAGTCAATAGGCCACCCTCACCCATAAAATACGACTGACATGATTTTGGCCAATACTTGATTTCCAGTTTTAACCAGAGTTGCATATATTTTTCAAGTGAGAGATCTAAAGTTTCAAATCTTCAATTCAGAGATTTTTCTGGCTTCTCTTGACAAAACAGTAAGATAGGAACGCCCTGAGCCCACCTTCCCACCCATAAAAAGTGACTGATTGACTTTGCAAAGGAGTTAGAATTGAATAGAAATTTCCCTCTTCCTTGTAGGATGATATTTCTAGTGCTAGATGAGAGCAAAGTCAATAGAAAGACTAGAAGATAGGGGTGGTGGTACATATCTATAATCCCAGCTACACAGGAGGTAGGAGGATTGTGGTCCGAGGCCTATCTTAGGCAAAAATGCAAGAGTGCCAAGCAAAAAATAACTGGGTCCTCAAGTGATAGAATGCCTGCCTAAGAAGAGAGAGGCTCTGAGATCAAGTCCCAGTACCACTGGGGGTGGGGAGGAGAGATGGCAGGGAATTGAAGATAGTGACAATGTAATAATCAGGAATAAACGAGAGACAAATGCTAATAAAAACTGTCTCACATTCTCCTTAAGAAACCCAGCATTTACCTACCAAATTGATGTCTGATACTTGTCCTGTGCAGTCAGCTCGCCCAACACCAATATGGTAGCCACTGAAGTTCTGAAATAGCAGAGCCTCTGAGGTACTAGCCCCTGGAGAGGTTGTGGTGGCTGTGGAGTCCTGGGTGGTTGTAGAACCATGAATTCCTGAATCAAAAATAGAATAAGACATTTGAAAAACAACATTTTGGTCAATTTATTTGTTGGCATCAATTTGAATACATAGGCTCAAGGTGGGCACCAGTGGCTCACAGCTGTAATTCTAGCTATGTGGAAACCGAGATTGGGAGGATCACGGTTCAAGAACAGTGAAGCCAAAAAAGTTTGCGAAACCCCATCTCAATCAATAACTAACTGAGCATGATGACATGTCTATCATTCCAGCTACGATAATTGTAAAATGAGAGGAATGTGATATAGGCCAGCATGGGCAAAAAGCAAAACCCTATCTCCAAAATAACCAGGGCAAAAAGGGCTCCTGCCTTGTAAGCGGGAAGCTCTGAGTTCAAACTCCAGTACTGCCAAAAAAGAATACATAGGCTCAGGTTCCTGTGGAAAATCTTTATATATTCCCTTCTATATATAAGATGCACAGTGAGAAACAGGATCTGTTTGAAGTCAAAAGTCAAAGCAGAATCTTCTTCTTGGACTGGAAATGTTTGAGACTGTCAAGGACTCTGAAAAATGTCCTTCAACTTCTCATGAGCCTGTCCTAGTCACTCTTATCCACTTTCCCTGCCCTTCTATTCCCGCCAAAGAAAACATGTTCCAGGTTCCTGCCCTTTGACCTGCTAAATCCAAACTCTTTTCATTCTCTCCATTCAGACTCCTCCAACACTCCCTTCAAAATTGATCCATTTCCATCACACCTAAATCCAGCTCAGTAACTCATCTCCAGGAAGACATCCAGCTGTCTCTGTCCTGCTCTGGTCTTCCTCAGCATTCTAAGGCCTTTATTAATACAAACAAAATCAATGTATACTTGGTGTCATAGCCACACCTTGTTTCAATTATTGTCATATATATGTGTGCATAGTTATACATACATAATATACATAATTAATATACATATACATAATTATTTCTAATACACAAACACACATGAATACCAGGGAAAGCAGAATCACATAGAGATTAGCTGCATGTTCCAGAAACTACCTGGGTTTAAACCTGACTCTACCAGTTACTAATCAAACAAATTGCCTAAGTTATTTCACCCTAATTTTCTCATCTATATAATGAAGACAATAATACTCCTGTTTCATAGAGTAGCTTTAAATAATAACTATGTTAATACATATTAAAAATTTAGAACAATGTTGGTATATGACTTTGATTTTTTACATATTTAGACATTTTTATACACATTTGCTTTTTTGTTTATTTCCACCCCCAGGAGTAACCAAGGCAGTAAATATCAATATCACAAGGCATCAGTGATCAGAAAGACTTAGACAAAAGATTTATAGCTAACTTCTTCTGGGATCCTAGAATTTTGTAGCTAAAAAAGATTTTTGAAAGCACCTAATCCAACTTCCTCAGGTTTATAGATAAGAAAAATACAACTCAGAGAAGTAACAACCAAGATTTCATAAGAACATGTAATAAATCAGGTGCCAAGCCAGACCCTCAAACTCAGAATCTGATGCTTTTTCAACCAAATAAGAATCTACGTCTTCTCATCTCCAAGTCCACATTTTCTACATGACACCAGATATAGCAAGGAGGGAAGCAATATTTTTATTTTTGCTGCACTGCTACCAACCCAGAAATTTGATTCCAACTAAAGCCAAACTTAGCACATAGCCAAGGACAAATTCTCTATAATCTTGGGGTCTCGGTTTCCCTATGGAAAATGGCACCAAGATTAGGGCTTACTTTATAGGCATTTTGGAGAATTAGATGAGAAAATTATGTAGAATACTTACTATACTGCTCCACACAAAGAAACTATTCAATATGCAATAGTTACTACTATGAAATAATAATTCTTAATCACTTCCCTGAGTCTCTGCCTCCCAATTCTCTAATTTTAATAGATAAAACTAAATAAATCCCAAGGATACTTTCATTTCTCATAGACCAAGTCCCTGCTCTGCCCCCTGATCTCTGTTCTTCTGTATCCACAGGGAATTCAAGGCACTGGACATGACAGAAAATACTCTGAATAAAAGATGAGGTTACAAGTGGGAAAACTGAATTAAAAAATTCCATTTCCTTTTCCATTTTACTTTGCTGTAAGCAAATCCCACCTACCTTCTTTGCCCAGGGAACAAATATATATCCTAATACTAAAACAGAACTTCCATCAAAGACCCAATGCCAATATTGCCTCTAAATGCAACTTATACAGTTTTCTAAAACTAAACTTCTTTACAACATCATACACAAAAATATCAGAAGATATCCCAAAATCCTAATGTCCACCTTCTTTTGAAAATTCAGGAGATCTGAGACTTTGTAGCATGATGACAAGTACAAGGAGAGGCTGTAGGTCTCCTCCACAGAGTTTCACCTGCTCCCACCCTGTTCTACCTCTCTACTCTACCTTATACACAGCACCTGATTGGCCCTTGTAAGGATCTGAGTTTATGATCACCTTCCCTGAAGCTTTTAACAGACTAAGTAACATCTGGTGAGTCTTCCTTCTTTTGTTCCCAGAAGAAGATAATACCAAGAAGGAAGCAAAAAAGATTACAGGTGTGAAGCTGGTCTATGAAGGATCTTAGGCTATGTGTAGATGGATGAAAAAGCTAAGAATGATGGGGAGGGTGAATTCAAGAGCTTTGGTGAATGTCACAGTGTACCCCCAGTACAACAATAATGAAAAAAAAAAGAAAAGGAAAAAGCTAAAGGAAATTTGTGCATGTCAACAGAGTATTTGGGGACAAAGGTAAATGTGATAAAAACTGCTATCGATGCAGGAAAGGTAAGATGACTGTCCCAGGCTGCTATCAGCAGACACTATTTCTTAAAAAGTTTCCTACAGACCTAGAAGTAGCATCCCAGAGGCCCCATGACACTTGCCTTTGTGGTTTTCGATGGTCCCACTGGTGATAAACAAGAGGCTGAGAAGGGCCACTGTGATGGCAGTCATCATTACTAGGAGGAAGATCAGGAATATCTCCAATGTGGAGAAGGTACGCTTGGCCATTTCTCCTGAGGCAAAGCAAAGGTGGAAGAAACGTGGGAGAAGAAGCAAAAGAGAGAATCACACATTAAAATGCAATGTTCCAAGCTGCCCAATGCTAAGATGTCTTGGCTCTTTCATATTCATAGACGATGCCAAAGATGACAAGCACAGAGGACACTTATCCCTAGTTCCATGTCCCCAGCCCATGGTACAAAAAGCCAGCCAATTACAATACTTCTTTAAATGCTCAAATGCTCGGGTATCATTTCCAAATCCTTCTCAGAACAGTGCTCCTCCTGGCAAACGCCATGCGTGCTTTGCACTGGCAGCTAAGGTAAAATCTATTTGGTTATATCATATTGCTTTTACCTATGGAAATGATGCTGTTTATGGGCAGTGCTCTGTCAACAAGGACAATTGAAACAAGTACTACTTGTACTCAGGAGAAGACTGGCTGGGGTTAGAGCTGCACTCTGTGGTCGTGGACAAAGTAAAATTATGTTGTCAGTGTTATGGAGGTAAACCCTGTAACTTTGGTCTTTAGATTCTACTTTCTATTCCAGGCCAATTTGTGCAAAAAAAAAAGTTTGCAAGACCCCATCACAACAGAAAAAAGCCATGCATACCAGTGAAGGTGAGAAAGCTAAAATAGGATTATAGTCCAAGCTAGGCTGGCTAAAGAAGCTAGACTATCTCAAAAATAACTCTGTTTTTGCTAGTCTCTAGCAAAAAAAAAAAATGCTAGAGGTGTTTTTCAAGTTGTTGAGCACCTGCCTAGCAAGCACAAAGCACTGAGTTCAAACCTTAGTACTGCCAAAAAGGAAAAGGAAAAAAAAAAAAAAAGGCAAGGAGATTGGCATCTCTGGTCTCAAGCCAAGAATTAGTAAAATTTCCTTTCAGTGATCAGAACAATGTATCATATTTTCCAAATACTATGTTTTATAACTGATTTCTTTACAAATTCTTTAAGTTGTTTTAGAAGAATTTGTCATCACTCAAAGTGACTACAGAAGCTCAAAGCTCATATAATGTAATGACAAGTATAATATGGTTATTAGAAAGTGGATTTGAAGTCAGACCCCAGAATTTAAATCTCATTTGTGTCACTTATTGCTGACATTGGCAAATGTTCCCTTGACACTAAACCTGAGTTTTCTCAACTCCAAATAGACATATGATGACAATTTTAGCACCTTTATCTAGAATTCCCATAAAATAAAATGATATGATGCAATTAGCATGTCTTTTGCTCCATGGGAGGTAATAAAGATTCAAATACTAGCATGTTTCATTAGGTTTCAAAACAGCAACGACTCTGTGTTCTCCCCTGACTTTAATGAGAGTTTATAGGAAGCTAATGCTAATAGACTGTTAGAATCACAGGCAGGACCTTCACAGCCCACTTTCTCATGCTTTGGGAAATCTGACCAGTCATATGGGATTGGAGTCTCTTAACTTGTTCTCAAAATGAATCATTTGTGCTGGGAGAGTGGCTCAAGTGGTAGAGTGCCTGTCTAGCAAGTGCAAGTCCCTGAGTTCAAGCCCCAGTACTACCCCCAAAAAAAAAAAAAAACTCAAAATGAATCATTTGTGACTCAACTGCTGCTACCCAAATAGCTGCAAACTAGCAACAAATGAATGCACTTAGTACAGCTCCACAGGGCTGGAGAGGTAGCTCAGTTGCAGAGCACTTGCCAAACATGCACAAGGCACTGGGTTCAATGCCCAGTCCTTTAAAAAATGCCTAGCATGGGCTCAATAAGGTTTTGTTTCAATTTGACTTAGATAACAAGATAAAAGATAGCATTTATCATTTCTCTATCAAGATAGCTTACATTTATTAATCTAAAAGTTCACATTTTCTTTTAAAGTAGCTCATAAAATGTGGCCGTGGCAGCTGTCCTTTAGGTAGCATGCCTCTCTGACCCTACCTGTGGTCTTTATCTGTCTAAACTACTGCCTGGTCTTTGGGGCATTTTATTTTGCAATCCTTGGGCTACAGGTGAAAGACCAGACATGTCAGCGGTAGGTAGAACTGAAAGTGAACAAAGAGACTGGAACAGCTTCTCAAATTTCCTGGTTATTGGGACTCTGGCCTTATCCCTTTATCACCAACATGGTTACCTTCACCACCAGCAGCAAGAATAACCTCAAATCTAGCATAAAACTAGGTAAGTCTGTGTCTTGGTACCAACTTCTATCATCAGTCCCAGGAGTCAAGAGTCACATCAAAAATATGCCTCTGAGATTCTGATTTCTAAAGAGATGTTACTAGTTACAGGCTACTGTTTCAATAGCAAACTTCAAGCCTATTACACTTAGTTCCTGATCAAGAACTAAATGAACCAAGATGGCTAACAACTGGACATCCCAACCCAGAGCATCAATATGCAGATTGTGTATCTAAATGTGGTCACATGGCAGAAGCCCACATATCAAACAGAGATGGTACAAAATTATATACTGAGGGTGGGGTGTAGGGTTAGTTTTGTTCTGCTAAACTGATTACCACTGCCGACCCTCTACATAAGACAGGGATGGCACTTGACTTAACTTTAGAGTTTCCATCTCTTGGATTTGAATGACCTACCTCATATGTTTTACCACTCTGATTAGCTGCCAGAATTACTGTCAACACATAAACATTCTTCTTAAACCACTTCAGCTGACTTTCCCACCACATTTAAGGAAATAAAAATTTGTTTCTCATTGATGATTAAAATCTGAATTTGAAATGAAAGCAGGTGGCTTGTCTACCTTCAAAATGCAAATTCACCTTGAGGAGTTGAGCCCGTGATTATATTGTAAATGACTATATATCTCATAATGGCTCCCACTTAATCTATCATAATCCTATAAGCTCAATGACAAGACTCAAGTGACACAATAGCTGGCCATTTGTCATACCTTTGTCACACTGTAGTTTCTGATTTTCAAGAAGATAACAATAAAAAATAACAATTTTATAAAATTTCCAAAGCTATGAAAACGAAATGAAGCTTTAGGATTTTTGTCAAGATCTCTGAGACAACAGGATCATTTATGATTCCTTCCTCCCTCTCTCTCCAAGAAAAAACAATCATTCTTACCTTATTCTACTAATCAAAAGAGCGTTTGCATCCCAGGAAAGCAAATGGCCATTCAGAATCTTTTTTCTTTGCTCCTTGCTTGTTGCTGGGCTTAGACTTGAAATCTGCTGAGGAAAGATTTTCACAGTCAAGTCTAGGAATTACAGTTCTCATTAGCATACCTTTGTGGCCTTGGTACAAGGATAAGATTAAGATGTATTGATAAACTAATAATTAAAAAAAAAACTTATCCACAAAGTCTCCTGGGACAGCTGTTATTGGTAGAGGCTGCAGAATAGCTATTGGACCAAAGGTCAGTTCAGCCTGAGTACAGGCAGGATGAGATCTGTGGGAGGCCTGCAACCCAAATCTCTCTCTGTCTCTCTCTCTCTCACACACATACACACACCTACACACAAGTGCACCTTCTTTATTTACCACTAGAAATTCAGCCAGCAATCACGAAGAGTGGCAATGAACGGTGGATGTTATGACTATGGATACTACTGGGCAATATTTACACTAATTTCAGGACACAAAACTGATCCTAATTTCTAGGCACTCCTAAAGAGAAAGCAAAGTTTAGGTTAACTAAGAATGAGAATAACAAATAGTGTAATCAGGCAAGAATACCATGGAGCCATTAAATATCATATTGGAAGCCAGGTATGTTAGTGCACCTCTGTCAGCCCAGCTACTTGGGAAGCTGAAACAGGAAGATCACCTGAACCCAGAAACCACCCTGTACAACATAGTGAGACCCTGTCTCTAAATAAATAAATGCATAAATAAACACATAAATAGTAATAGCAAGTGAGAAAATTACACTAAAGAAATTAATGACATGAAGAAATCTCAAGTTTACCAGACCATACAATCCCATTTTTGTAAAGCACACTCATAAATACCACACATATATAAGAAAGTATAGCAAAATATTAATAAACAATTTTCTGGTGGATTATGTTTTCATCTTTTTGTTTCTTGGAGTTTTTTACAATAGCCATGTATCACTTTTGTAATGGGAAAAATATTTTTCCTCCCCTTAGAGAACATATTCTATAAAACAAAATGAACTTAAATAATGAGATAAAGAGGACAAGAATTAGACCGGGGCCAGGGGTGGTGGTACACATCTGTAATCCCATCTACTTGGGAGGCAGACATAGGAAGATCATGGTTTAAGGCTAACCCAGATAAAATTAGTGAGACCCTGTTTCAAGAGGAAAAACAGCCTGTAAGTTGTTGTGTTTGTCTATAATCCTAGCTACTTAGGAGGCAGGAGGTGGGGTAGGAGGAGTCATGCCCAAGGCCAGCCCAGGGAAAAGTGGGAGATCTATCTGAAAACACACTGAAGAAGCAAGAGGGCTGGAGTGTGGCTCAAGTGGCAGAGCAAGCCACACGGCCCTGTGCTCAGCTCCAGTTTCACAGAAAGAGAGGAAGCAAAAAGGAAAAGGAGGGGAAGTAGAGGAAGAGAATGGGAGAGAAAGAGAAAGAGAGGGAAGGAAGGAAGGGAGAGAGGGAGGTGGAGGGAGGGAGGAAGGGAGGAAGGAAGGAAGGAAGAAGAAAAGAAGGAAGGAAGGAAGGAAGGGGGAGGGAGGGAGGAAGGAAGGAAGAAAGAAAGAAAGGAAGGAAGGAAGGAAGGAAGAAAGGAAGGAAGGAAGAAGGAAGGAAGGAAGGAAGCAAAGGAGGGAGGAAGAAAGAGAGAAAGAAGGAAGGAAGGAAGAAAGAAGAAAAGGAAAAGAAAGAGAAAGGAAGGAATGAAAAGAAAGAAAGAAAGCAAGGGAGAAAGAGACTAAGGGAGGGAGAGACAGAGGAAGAGAGAGAGAGAGAAAGAGAGATAGAGCTAAAAAGAGGCCAGGCCACCCCATCCCCCGCCTACACACTTTATTTATTTATTTATTATATTATTGTTGTACAGGAGGTATATTGTGACACTTGCAAAAGTTCTTA